GGGCTGTGCTGGGGAAGCTGTCCAATAAGCTGGGCTGAGTCGCCGCAGAGGCTGATGGGGCTCAGGGGACTGAGCGGCGGCTGGTGTCGGCATGGCGACGGGCCGCGGTGGTGTTAGGGTGGCCATGGTGGCTTGGCCCGCTTTGTCCGCCGCGGTAATGACCGCCCTCCTCTTTTCGGCCCTCCCTCGAGTCTCACAAGCCCAGTCCTTCTCTTTACCTTTCCGGCAGCCAGAATCGTGCAGCCATAACCAGTACTTCGATATCTCCGCGCTCTCTTGTGTCCCGTGTGGAGCCAACCAGAGGCAGGATGCTCGAGGTGAGACGGTCTGGGATGGGCCCTTGCAAAAGTAACGCTCCAGCCCTGGTGATAGCCTCAGTCCCCGGCAGCGCTGAAGCGCCTTTTTATCTGCTGTAGGGATGTTTCACTAAAAGTTAACCGCCGACGCCTGAGGGAACAGATTCCTCGGAGGATTGCGTTTTGTACACTAGTGAGGTTGGGGAATCCCGAGTCCACCATCCGGCGAACGGTTGCCGGTAATTCATTTCTCGGCACCAGTCCCTCACTCCTTACCCGGGGGTAGTTAGGGCAACACCTGGAAAGCAGCTGGAAGAGTTGACGCTGTAGAGAAGTAATCTGAGATGCAGAGGGGCAGTTGATAAGAAGGGTTGGGTAGGGGATGCAAATGAGTACTTGTAAACTTCGAAAGCCCTTTATGTTGCTTTTCAAATCCTAGTAATTTAGACTGGAAGGGACCGTAATCCTAATCAGATTCAGTCTTCTCATTTTACAGATAAGGAAATTGAAACCCAGAGGAGGTTGTGACGTCCTTTGTATACCTGAATTGGGAAATGGAAGAACTCGTGTGTCTTTGCCCTTAGTCTGGAACAATGTGTATATGTCCACTATACAGTGTGTCCCTAATATTGTAAATTTCCTTAGTACTTAGCCCTTTCTATTGTTGAATATTACTTACTGCTCTTAAAGTCATTTTAAGTTAAACTAAAAAAAAAAAAGAATTTCCCCTGAAACGTCCATCATTTGGTCCTAATTCTTACTGAAACTGCTCTGAGTAAGTCTTGCATCTTCTAAATTCATGACCAAATCTTCAG